ATATTAATAATAATAATGAGATGTATATATCACTTTTTTTATATTAATAATGGGATGTATATATAACTTTCTTTATATTAATAATGGGATGTGTAATTTATAATGTGTTTTATATTCGGATTGTTTTATCAAATTAATTATGTTTCATATTTTGTTATAAATATTTTTATAAAATTTTAATATGTGTTATTTTTACTATATCCAACAATATTTCTTTGTTATACTTAAGTGTTTCATTTTTTTTTTCAAAATTTCTCTTTTCTTTTAATTTTTTGCTCCTACCGAAAAAATTCCTGGATTCACCACTGAATCCAACCCTACTTCTTTGACCACCCCCCCCCCCTCAACATAATTTCTGGCTCCGTCCCTGGTGCTTAGTACTTTCTCATCAATTAAATTCATGAAAAAATATTTTCAAAGAATATATTTGACGGGAATAACTTTGCATGAAAAATAATTAACATGGTTAGTGTTACCCTAGAAACATAATAATTAAATTACTTAAAAAATTAATTAAGATGTTTGGTTCGTTTAAGCTTTCTTATAAAATTTTGTTAAATTTCTAATATATCCTTACTATATACAAACATTAAAAAGAAAAGAAAAAAAAAAACATAACGAATAATTGAGATTTCAATAGATCACATGCCAACAAACTTCCGTATGCAAAAAAAGAATATTCAAAATTGAAAACAGTATATATGTAAACAAATGTTGATATACTTTTTTTTTTTTGATAAATAGTGTTGTTATCCTTTGTAATTGTAGATTTGTAGGATACAAATTTCTCATATTTATAAGAGACTTTCGTGACCAGTACCGTAGCTTTGCAAAGGATCACTCCACGAGTTCAATAGTCATGTCTCTAGTACCATTGTTTTGCAAGATCACTTTCGCGGATTCAACAACCCCGTCTCCAGTACCATTGTCATGACGATTCACTCATCGGGCAAAGTGTGGAGAAAACACAAATGAAATGACAAAGTAAATAAAAAGGTAAGGGAATATCATCACAATACCTAATTACCTAAACATACTAAGGGAATCACGTCCCCTCTAAAACATGAAAAAATATGGTGTACAAACTATATTTGATAATATAGAAAAGTTATATAACTCCAACCATCAAACATAAGAGTGTTACATAACCAACCAATTATAATCCACTGTCATCTTAAATATAAGCTGAACTAAATGCCTCCTTATCATTATCATTAAGAAGTTTTCTATTTTCCAAACTTCAACGTACACTGCAGCCAGATTGTCACAGTGGCCTTGTCCTCATGGAATTGGGCCCTCAATACATATGTAAGCCCATAGAATTGGGCCCTCAACGTACACTCCAGCTCATTTTATGTGAAGTTCATTACTAGTTTAAAAAAAAAAATACTATGTGCTCGACTCCAGCTCATTTTATGTGAAGTTCATTACTATTTACAAAAAAAAAAAAAAAAAAAAAAAAAAAAAAAAAAAAAAAAAAACTAATTACGTACATTAAAAATGGTGTTTTTTTTTTTTTAATTTGTTCATTTATGTGATTTGTCACGTCCATTTTGTTTTTATATTTATTAACTTAATTTTTATTAATTATGTTGCCATATAAAAAAATTATGTTACCATATAATTCTATAAAAGAAGTAATCATAATTATATTAATTAATTTGATGATAATATCTCTAGATTTAACACCCATTTAACATGAATCTTAACGGAGGACTATTTGTAGTCAACAATGATAGTTAAGGTACGTGTTTTGATCGAATTGAAAGTCGATGACTAAATGGAGTACTAGTCCAATAGCCAGAGGACTATTTGTGCCTTTGTGGTATTAACTCTTAGCAAAATTATAATGCAAAGAAAATATTTTTCATACTCAAATTGAGATCTTAATTTGAAAAGGACGAAAATTTTCTTCATAATTTCATATTTTGGCATGTCTTAAACGAAGGGGTGACATGCGTGATGAATTTTGACACTAAAATAATTATCATGTGGATGAAAATTAGTAGTAAAACAATAGTCGTGGATAAAAATTGATACGAATTAAACATGTAAACGTCATTTTGCTTTTACCAAAAGTGGTATTTGCTCTATAACCAACTATTTGCACATATAAAGAGCAAATACCAATTTTGGTCCCACGAGTATTAGCAAAATGACGGTTTTGGTCCACATGTTTAATTTCTACCAATTTTCATCCCACGACTATTGTTTTAGTACCAATTTTCATCCACGACTATTATTTTAGTACCAAAATCCATCACGTCGGTCACCCCTCCATCCAAGACATGTCGAAATCTAAAAATTTTAAGGGTATTTTCGTCCTTTTCAACTTAAGGCTCTAATTTGAGCATGAATAAAGGGATGTAAGTCCTAAGATCAATCCCAATTGGCAGTTCTCCTCCTCATCCTACTTTAATTTTAGGAGAAAAACTGCGAATCACGATAGATCTTAGGGCTTAAATCTTTTTATTCATGCTCAAATTGGGATCTTAATTTTAAAAAGACGAAAATACCCTTAATAATTTCATATTTCGACATGTTTTAAACAAATGTGTGATTGGCGTGATGAATTTTGGCACTAAAACAATAGTCGTGGATGAAAATTGGTACTAAAGTAATAGTCGTGGATGAAAATTGGTAGGAATTAAACATGTGGACTAAAACTGTCATTTTGCAAATACTTGTGGGATTAAAATTGGTATTTGCTCCACATATAAAAGAAGCTAAGGGACACATAATATTAGTGATTCAGACTGAAGGCATCACTTTTTAATCTAAATTTTCTCTTCTTTCCGATCCCCAACAAGCTAGAACTGCAACAACAACAACAGGAGGAATTTGGGGAATGATCGAAAATACATTCCCAGAAATGCAATCACCTGAAGAAACAACAGATAAGAATACAATAAGTTTAAGCGGCAGAAGCGTCCCACACCGGAAACTTTGAAGCTGTATACATGAATATAAGCTGCTAAATAGACCCGGGTTCGACTCCCGGCAAACGCATTTTTCCTTCAACTTTTGTTGGAAATCCTATTTAATCCCTTTAGTAAGTTCGCTATTCCAAACTAGCCTTGTTATTTTCAAAATATTCTTATTTGCACAATTCCAATATGGACCATTTATTTACTTTTGTTGGAAATCCTATTTAATCCCTTTAGTAAGTTCGCTATTCCAAACTAGCCTTGTTATTTTCAAAATATTCTTATTTGCACAATTCCAATATGGGCCATTTATTCAACTCATATTTATATGTAAATTTTATTCCTCGTTTTATTATTCCAAAAGGTTGAATCCCCAACCCTAAAGACCCTCCACACCCGATTCGACAGAACATTTGAGATGATGTAAATCGTGGTAACTCAACTGAATCACAGAGGTTAGACCTTTGCTTCCTCGTTTTATTTTATATATGTATGGTGGATGATTGTTGGGTAAAAATGTAAGCCACTCATTAATTATGCGGTGGTTTAACTTTTACCACAAATTAATGAGTGGTTAAGGTCCTTTAAATAATATGAGGCCTAATGCAAGCCACTCATTGATTAATTATGTGGTGGTTTAACCTTTACCACAAATTAATGAGTGGTTAAAGGGTTTAACCTTTACCACAAATTAATGAGTGGTTAAGATCCTTTAAATAATATGAGGCCTAAATTGCTTGGCCTCTATTATTTAAATAGGGCCTTAGTTAAAGTCTGAGCAATAGTGAGTTTCAGCTACGTTTAAGCTGTACCGCTGGTACAGTTTAGCGTCTATGTAGCCACACCCGTTGTGTCCTTGTTTCTTAAAAGGTTTCCAGTCCGGTTCTTTCTATGTTGTAGGAGCTTTCTACTACCATTTTAGATTATTGTACCAACGTTTAATATTTTTTTTAAATTACCATTTAAAAAATATTTTTATAGATTTGTCACAAGTGTAAAGGTTTAAATAGATAATTTATGATAATAAGTCAATAAAAATGTTAAAGCAACTTTTAAATTGAGGAATACCGCATATAGTAAATGTCTATTAAAGTATGTAATTAATTATGAAATATATGTTTCAACTACATTGTTCCCCTTTAAAATTTGCAATTGACTATATATATATATATAATTACCCTCAACTCCCAAATCTATACAAAACAACATTTCTCACCCGTTTCTTAACTTTTTAGTTTTTCAATCTTTAACAATATGAGTCGAGCTAATCTCGCATGTCATTACTTGCTTCTCTTACTTTGTGCGTATATTGTGGTTGAACCTAGCATTGCCAAAAAAAAGTCAGGATTTAGTTTACTTACCAACCTTCCTGAAGATATTGCGAAATGTATAGAATCAGTTAGAGGAGTTCCAACATGCTTGAACAAGGTTTCGGTCGCTGCGTTGAGCTCCAAAGCAATTGATCGTCAATGTTGCAAAACACTCCAAAAGGCTGGAGATGATTGTTTGGCTGGTGTTTTCCCACATGCTGCTATTTATGCTTTTGCACTCCAGCAAATTTGTGGAGCATAAGTTGAGTGAATTTTATTAATAACTTTAGTTTATACAAATGATTGCAACATGTATAATGTATAATGAAAATAAATTTACTAACGATGTTTCTTCATAACATCTATGATGTATAATAAAAATAAAATTACTTTTTACTATGATTGCTTTTCATTAGATTTTAAGAATATTAATCAAAACATGAATATACAGAAGGCAAATACCACCTCCACCAAATTTGCTAGCAATTGTTATATCGTGGACCAGGATCTCAACAGTGCACTATGGACCCTAGTCCAATACACAGAATTCATGTTCATAGTACACATACACATTACGATATAATAAACATGAATTATGTGTATTATATAGCTGAGGACACATAAACACTTAACATAATATACATAATTCATGTTCATTATTTCGTGTTTATGTGTATGTGTATTATGAACATGAATTTTGTTCCTTATGAAGTTAAATTCTGTGTATTGGATTACACTGCGGACCCCCTTACATTATTTTCTCTCAAATCAAAAACCTTAACAAAATCTAGTAGACATTACTGGCTGGAGTTCAACAGAGTACAAAACACAGAGATCTTGTTCAAACCCTCGCCATACGTAGCATCTGCGATAGAGGCAAGCTACCACAAATCAATACCAACGAAGAAGACTTTTAAATTTTTATGACGAATTATTATTATTATTATAAATTTTTAACATACTAAATGTACATTACGTACTGAAAGTACATTATTTGCAGTAAAACATATTACTATATCAAAGAAAGCTAAAAATATCATTCAACAAAAAATATAGACCTGTTCAAGCTCTGCCATCCCACTCTTCATAGAACTCTTTGAGATAATCCTCCATAACTTTGTGCCTCCTTTCAGCCCTTCTCTTCCCAGCCTGCCATTAAATTAACCTCAGAACCAATATGTACTGAAAGGGAAAGGATCGGAGTGCACAAAGTTTTAACAGAGATGATGCAAGATGCAGATAGAACACCTGACCTGAGTTTTCATCAAGTCCTTCAGCTTGAGAAGCTTCTCATGAAAATGATTAATAGTTGTCTGCTCGTCTTTGTTCATGTATTTTTCCTTGGACAGATCTGAACGGGGAAGAATTTTAGGGTCGTGCAGAACTCTGTGCCTACTTCCACCAAATGTAAAGCATCTAGCAATTCCTGGAAATTTAAATTTAGTTACCAAATGAAACACAGACTGTAAAAAAAAAATGACAGATCTTAACAATGAAAAACATCGATATGCTGATATTACACGGGTGAAAATTTGTGTATTGCGTATTAAAGTAACAATATCCTGCTTTTGAGTACGGGCTGGCTGCAGCCCCTGGTCAATTGATACGATTATTTTTGTATCAAACAAGTTCCAAGATAGTATTATGAACATGTCTGAACCACAGGTCATCTTACTGTAGGTACAAATTAGATTTCTATCAATCTGATACATTAGATAAAAGTTCCAGATGAAATAAACTTAGTTACCTATGGCACCAATTGCATCAAGCCGATCTGCATCTTGCACAACCCCAAATTCCAGTGAGGAACTACCATTTGCATGACCTTCAACTTCCTCTTTAAACCCTGAAAGTTAACAATAAAATTAAGTCAGTTACTATATTCACATCATTGATCAATTACATTGTAAATCATAAATAAATAAAAACAAAGTAAAACAACAAGAATTAAAAAGAAAAGAACCTAATGAAGTAACCTAGTACCAAGACAGGGTATATTACTCCATAGTAAAAATATATGGAGTAATATGCCATGAGAAGCAAAGAGAACATTCATTTGAAATTACTCAGTTAACCAAAGATTCCAATCTGCAAAGAATTCCTCTTTGTAACAGACTGAGGCAGTATCATGAAGGATTATGCTTGGTGAGGAACTGAGGAAGAGCAAAATCGAAAAAACATGTAGACCAACACTTGAAGTGTGCATGATCACTACTTGTCTTAATATTCACACCAAACTCATTTGCTAACTATGACTATAAAATCCAATCTTTTCTCATTAATCAAGGTAAGAAACAGGGCATAAATAGGTTCAAAGAGTCCTCAATACTTTAAAAGCAAGATGCACTAGAGCAATAAAAAGTTCAAGTATGCATGGTCATTGTTAATGTGATTGCTTTACAAAGTAACTTTACAATTTCTTTTGAATAATATGAAATTAGAGCTAAAAGTGTAGTACCAATAGGACGAATTTCATGAAGATATTATTAACAGATTAACAGTAAATCTCGTTAGATGTGTGCGTGTGTGTGTACATCTTACCCATTCCCCTTATGATCTTCAAAACATTTATCCTCTTGCTCTCCTCTATCCCTTCATTTTCAAGGAATTCTTCAACAACTTTTGCCTCAGATGGGTCACTGGATACAAGAGACTAGCAACCATAAGTAATGGGGGCAAAAAAAAGTGAATAGTAAAATATAAAGCAGCAGGATTGAAAGGAGCGAACAAGAAAACAAAGGAGAATAAAATACGGAGTAATTAAACAGATAGAAGAATGGCTGATTGCTTCAATGCCCTTAATTGCCTTAAAACATATAACTGTAACATCACATGCAGAAATTCAATCCCAAAGTTGGACAGACATAAGATGGCATCTTTTATAGATAAATTTGGAACTTAATTCCAGAATTCCATACTGTCTGCCCAGTTGATCTAATAATAGACTGAATAACCTTGGCATGCACATTATAACTAAATCTGAACATCTGTCTTTGGAGCATATATTATAGCCAATAGTAAAGAAATGGAAGTACCAACCTCACATATTTGTAGTCTCCTGCATTTGAGTATCCAATAAGAATGCCCAGTAAAACTCAAAGATGTCAGCACAAGGAAGAGAACATTTAAATTCAGATGATGAGAATAAGTGAAGGTAAATTTTCTTTCTAGAGCAGATATTTATCATCAAATATGATTAAAATGCCTGTCAATAACAGTGAGCTTCTAGTAATAGGAAAGCTCAAATACAAATAGCACTAAATCCAAAAATGAAAATATTTCTATTTCCAAAGAAGGCAAAATAAAACAGTCCTAGAGATCTCATCCAGACCCTTGGTTTATAAAGACAAATTTCAAGTTAGAGATAGTAACAGATGAGACTTTATCCTCTAGCTCTAAACTTGGTCTGAATTGGCTCACTAAGCTCTGCTGGCATACAGGTGAGGTAACAATATGAGCCAAACCTGGCTCAACTAAGGTTTGTTTAAGGTTCAGTACTGTAAAATAAATATGTATGCATTAATGTGTGCACATGTACACTTGTTAAGCTCTCCTTTTAATCCATATGGATGAAACACTGAACCAACATTGATACATTTCAGACACAAAGACGAACAGGAAAGATGAGTAGTTCCATAAAATGAAATGGAAAAAAAAAAAAAACACCAAATAGCCACAAGAAAACAGTATCAACTGACAAATCCCTTTTATAGTGCATTTCATGAAAAAAAGAAAAAGTAATACACCACACTTCATAGAAACAGTAAGCAAACAAATGACATGAAGGTGATAATCATCAAATGAATTATTATATTTACAAGAAGAAAAAAAAAAAAAGAGTTATAATACCTATATCATGCAGAAGAGCAGCCAGCTCCACCTGTTAAGAAAGCAACACAGATTCTCAACTCTAATGTATCAACTTCAAGAGTAAGCATATAATTAGTCTGTTTACAGCAATGCTACATTGTAGAAAAGTAGTGATGAACCATAACTGCATCCTAGTAGCAATATTTATCTTGAATTCAGATTTACTTTACTATAAGCAGAGCCATTTAGTTTCTGAATATGAACTTATGAATTATACGTATTAGCACTATTAGAAAGGCAAAATTACACGGGAGGGGGAACCTCAGTGGGGAATTTTAATAGATAATACTACCAATACAAAGTACAAACACACAATTTCTCAAAATTGCTTGTCAAAACAAAGATATTCATGGGGGAAAACCTAAATCCATGAATGAAAAGAAAATATACTTACAATAAACATGGAATCGGGAGATGAAGTGAGGCCTTCTTCGCAGGCGAGAGAAAGAGCGAGGTCCCGCACTCTGAAGGCATGGGCAGCATCGTGAGATGCATCGTTCCCTTTCATGGCTTTCTCCACCAACTCCTCCGCCTTCCTGATAACCTCGTTCTTCGCCATCTTTCGTTTCTCCAGCTGGGGAAGGGACTCCGTCACACTGCTCCAAGTCTCCAATCCAGAGTCGACGATAGTCCAAGTCAAAACTAATGTCCTCCTTTAGCCATGGAAAGCAGTCAAAGCACGATCCTACATTAGTCATAACTTTTGTGTTTAAAATTTTCAAAAGGCATAGGGTGGAATTTGACACATTTTTTTTTAAAAAAAATTATTTGCTTATAAGTGTTTGATAAATAGTTGTTTGTTGATAGATGTTAGTTGATTAGATTAGTAAGTTTGATTAGTTAATATTATTGAGATTGTATAAAGATATTTGATAAATTAGTTATTAGTTGATAATTATTTATATACAAAATGACTTTTTTTAAAAGTTAATCGAAAAAAACTGTTTTGAGTAGCTTTTTCGAATTTTAGTCTTTTAGAGTAATAAGTTGTTAGTTTGTTACAAAATACGGAGTATAAATTAACCAAAACACTTATATTAGTTGATTAACTAAGTCAAACAACTAATAGTGATCAAACAAGAGTTAATTATCAATTTGATCCCTCGACTATGAGGATTTCACCAATTTGGTCATGGACTTCTAAAATTTCTTAATTTAGTTCTCGACTATACCTTCTTTTACCCGAAATGGTCCTCAGTGTAATTTGCCAGTCAAACTAAAAGGGTAAAATGGGAATTTGGAAAAAAACATTTTCTTCTTCCCTAACTCTGAATGGCTATGTATTAGGAGCTCGAATGCTTCATTCACTCTCGGGAAGCTGCTTATGCAGTCAGACCTTGACATGGTCATCGACTGGCTATCCAAGCAAATTCATCACCTTGACCTCCTTTGCCGCTCTGCCGTTCTTTGGCAGTCCACGACTATTGTCCTCTCCCACCCCTCATCTGCCTCCACTAGGGAAGATTTAGCGATATTCATCAGAGACCTCTTCACTCGCCTCCAGATCGGCAGGAAGGCAGTTATAGCGGTCTTCAACTCTCCCTTAGCCGGCTCCACCTCCGCCGTGACTTCGCCACCCTCATCTCTCTTCTCCGTCGGCACTGTTTCCGACTGATTTCCTAGATTTCGACAGCATTCAAGCAGCAAGTGACCAAATCGCTACAGAATTTAGGAATGTGTTCATAATCAATCCTCTGCCAAAATCCACGCACTTCTCCTTCCTGATTCACAACCTCAATCCAAACCTTTTCCTCCCGATCCTGAAGCAAATCCAGTTACACCTTCACTCGAGACGTACTCGGCCTTGTTCGACGAACCGTGGTTGCATACAAAGCCATGAGTTTCCCGACCGGAGCACACACCAGCTTCAACATCTTTGAATAAAAAAGATGATAAGGCAATTTTGGCAACGCAATCAATATGGCTGCAAATGGTAAATCTCTCTTTGAACTCTAATCTGGCAACCAGCGAGGGAACCAGACCCATTTTCCTCCGATTTCTACGATGCTTTTCGCCAAAATCGTGTGCAATCAATTTCTTCAGTAAATTTGATGAGAATGTTCCTTGAATCTAACAATCCGATGTGCGACTTGCCAAAAATAGGTAGGATTTTTTGAAATTGAGCCCAAATTACATCAAGAAGGCATTAAACAAAATGGGGGGAGTGTGATTATTATGAAGTGAAATTACAAATCTGTCATCAGTTTTATTGCCTTAGTTTGACTTTATGATCATTTCGGGTAAAAAATGCATAGTCAGGGACTAAATTGAGATATTTTGGAAGTCAACGACTAAATTGGTGAAATCCTCATAGTCGAGGGACCAAATCGATAATTAACTCGATCAAACAAGCTAAAATTGACTGATATGCTAATTATTTTACCAAATATTGCGTTAATATTTTTTTTCCAGGTTTTTTAAGTAATACTTCTACAATGCTGTCATAAAATTTAAATAAAAATTATTTGTTGATTTAGTTTCATTATTGACCTTTAAACCAATTCAACCACATAGGAAACAAAGACCCAATTATCAACACCAACCCGACAATAGTGCTTCTTGATTTCAGTCAAATCTCCAAGAGCTCAAAAGAATCATGGTGAACCGTGAACGCAAGTAGGTTCAAGGCAAACATAAATTTTATTCTTCACCCCTTGCTTGATCTTTGTCTCAACATCGATGACAGATTATGACCCCTTCTATGAAGTTGCAAATTTTGATCACTTTGAAACCTCTTGTTATATATTTCACAAACAAATATATTGGCAGCTAATGTGGTATTGGGTGATAAAGCAGTCACATTTGCATCAAGATCTTGAAAACACAGAAAAATAAAAAGTTTCAAAAATTAATTTTTTATGATTTTAATAAATTGAATACTTAGCTTTACAGTCAAACGTATTACCAAACATTTCAGGAAGGTTTCACTTTTATCTTGCTGGTTGCTTTTGGAGGAGCTACTTGATTACCAGATGAAGAGACGTGGGCTATGTCAGAACCGGTGGAGTCATTCACGGCTAAGGAGTTATCAACATCGACCGTCATGGCGGTGCCACTGTTTTAGTGTCATTTGGAGTCGCTCAACCACCTGAGTTTCAAGTGATTAGAGATGTCAATTCATTCAATTAACCAATAGAATAGGAATACAAAGTATATCTAAAACAGAACTCGAACAAACCCTGAGTAATAAACTATACTAATTCAGCTACTCTAAAGTCACACAATTACAATCATATAATATAAAGATAATGTAACAAATAATAATAATACTAACACAAGTTAGTCATCCGTTGTTTGTGGTTGCAAAAAGAAAGGCGATGACGCTATAACACCAGAATTGTTCAATGAGTTTTTGAAGATAAAGAATTTGATTTTTTTATTTTTTAAGTTCGAATGGGTTTAAAGGACAACAAGGTGATAAAGTAACAAATCAGTAAAATTATTTTTATTTAAATTCCATGCAAGTATTGTAGAAGGTTACCTCTGTGAAACTTAGAGAAAATGTTAAGTGAACAAAATTTTAAAAGTAAATATATTCAATTATATATTATTTTAGTCCAAAATGTGAATTTAACTAATAATAAATGGGGCTATTTGACCCTCATGTCTTTTCAAAATTTTGGAATACATCAAAGTAAATGTACTGGATAAATTTGACAGATTAAAACAATTTTTGCCACATTGACCATGATACTTATTTCAAATTAGGCTTCTAACTATCAAGATTTCGAATTTTTAATGTGTAATTATTCAATTGCTTCCATATTTACTTCTTGCTCAATTTATCGGTCAACCTAAGTCGAAAAGTGCGTACCAAAAAATAAAAAATAAGAGTAAATATCACTTTTGGTCCCTTGACTATCATAGCTGAAACATTTTTTAACATTGACTATTACTTTTCTCACAATAGGTGCATGACTTTCTAACTAGTATCACTTTTGATTCTCCAGTTCAATTTTCCGACCACATATTACCGGAATTCCAACCGAAAAAATAATATGCTATAATTAGAAGGGTATTTGGTCCTTTCAAATTTATTTTCTTCTTTTAAAGCGAAAGAGCTGAGGAAGAAAGCGGGAAGCAAAAAAAAAATAAAAGAAAAAAATAAAATAAATTTGAAAGGATCAAAATACTCTCCCTTTTAATTACAACACAATATTTTTTTTAGTTGAAATTTCAATAATATGTAAGCGAAAAATTAATTCGAAAAATCAAAAGTGAAATTAGTTAGAAAGTCATGCACTTAATTTGAAAAAAAATAATAGTCAAGAACAAAAAATGCTTCAGGGGACCAAAAGACAAAAGTGATATTTATTCTAAAAGAACAAGATTAATAAAGTGAAAATAGTCATATCAAAATTGAAATCTTGATAGTATATTCCTAAAAGCTATTAAGCAAGTCTCAACAAAACTTTTTAAAAGTCCAGTAAAATACTCTTCAAGATAGGAGAGTTGTTTTATTTATTTACATTTGATTTTTTGGAAAGTTGGGAATTCTCACTTTTTGATGCGATGCCTACTGCTACCCTGATGGTTCTTATACCCAACTCCATTTCCGCCATTAGAGCTGCCGGCAGCTTCTTTCTTTTGTTGCGAAGAAGAAGAAGAAGAGAATAGAGGGAATCCGAAAACCCCGGGCTTAGAAGAGCTTCTCAGTGAACAGACCGGGACGTTGAGAACCCGGGTGACCCGAACATTTGCTGAATAGGACCGTTCCATTCCCCTGTGCTTGTATCTGGGCTCACCACCATTCAAACTGCTTGGACTGCTTGAGCTTCTCTCCAAGCTGTGGAAGACTATCTTCCCTGAAGAGTTCATCCGCGGACTGTCCGCGGAGACTCCGCCGATTGTGGCGGCGTCTGGTGCTCTCTGCACTGGGCTGCGGCACACTCTCCCGGCCGGATTTTCGGAAGACAATGCTCTTGCTTTCACCAATCGGACCCTGGGAGGGTTGCGAGAGAGATTGACGACCGGCTTTTCTGAATCGAGGGAGATGCGAGGGAGGTCGTCGTTTTCGTGTCCAGAAGAGGAAGATGAGAGCGAGAGGCGAGATGAGTTCGACGCGGACTCGTTGTCGGAATCCTTCAGCAATGGAAAGCTAAGCGATTCGTCAATTGATGAGTTCAGTGATTTTGAGTAGCGCTGAAGGAAAATTTTCATAGATTTATGGCTGCTATTACTCTGTGAGGAAGACGACAACGGCGGCGGCGACGTCGTTTTGATACTATCGTCCTTGACATTGCGGTTTTGGTACAGCTTCTTCAACCCTAGAAGCTCCTTCCACCTGCTTGAACACCTCGGCGCCTTTGTGGAGAAAAGCCATGGTTCCGAACCGGAAATCTCATTTCTCGTTTTTATCTTCGGAGTATCCGGCAACGTAGCCTCCAGACCCGCCGCCTCAGCCAACGTGGCCGGCAGCCGGATCGTCGGTAGTTGAAGCGGTAACAGCATTCCATCGGAGAAGAGCTCATCCGCGGGAAGCATAATCTCAGGACGGTCAAGTCGGAACTCGAAATCCGCCGCATCATTGCCGAGAACTTCCGGATCTGAATCTTCCTGCTTATCATCACCGCACTTGTCCACCGGGCGCGGTGGTGAAGATGAATGCTTAGCTCCGAAAGCCTTCGAGGACTGCGTATCATCCATAACCTCCCTACTAAATGAGGCTCGAGGACTCAACCGGCCATAAGCCTGGTACTTGGACGGCGGACAGTCTAGGAAATTCTCCGGCGACATCCCAGTGCTGTTGAAGCACGCCGACGCCATCTCCTGCCGTATTCAACAGAACAGTCAACACCAACAAAAATTATAGAAAATCTACACAGTCAAATGCATCTGAAATATATTTCAAACTTCTCACACATATAGTGCGAGTGAAAGTACGGTTATCACGGCAGTCTAGGGTTTGGAGGCGCCATGTGAATAGTTCAGTGTTGTCTAGCGGAGATTCGGAGAAGGTGTCCCGGTGGCGCGCAATTCGGGGAGTGCAGAAAGAGCTGCGTATTCTCGGACCGGGTTTTATACATCATAATAAGGGAAAAGGGATAATGCCAATTAGCCCCTTAAATTAAAAAAAAAAAGTAATTAAATATTTAAATTTATTAAAATAAATTAAATAAGTTTAATTTACAGGTAATCAACTGGTTAAAAGTAAAATTATTTTCGTTGATTGTCATTTAAAAAAAAAAATAGCCGATGGCCTTTTTCACTGAAAAAACAATCCACTAGTTGCCTTTTCTGATGGTGCTCTTTCGATTTGATCATCAGTATTCTTCGATTGTTTTTCAGTAGAGAAGGCAACCAGTCTGGTTGCTTTCTCCAAGACTTTAACATCAAATTATACATATATTTTTGAATATACTCAAAATTTTCACCGTCAAATACAATGATTAATTCTCTCATTAAATTATAAACACCTCTATTAGGTGAGACATCTAACCTAAATCAAATTATATATTACTATTTACAAAGAGTGGAAGAGTTAAAACACAAAATCTGCAATAATTGATCAGTTATTATTGAATTGTTTGGTATGGGAAATTGGGAATAGTCAAATACCGGAGTAATAGAATAGAATTACTTGCGACAACTCGGCAAGTGGGCCCAAATATTTGTAATGAATTGGGGTGAGATGGTACGCATGTCTCATGACGATATTTGGTCAATGTCTATGGTCTTCCAACGATAAACATTATATTATTTATATATAATTTTTTTTAAGAAAGACAATATATTTCCTGCTAAAAAGCTGGTCACCCCTCAGAGTCGGAGATGAGTTGATGTGATGGTTCTTGGACACATCATGAATTGTCTAGTTCGGGATGCCAAAACTTTATCTAAATTTATTATATTCCTCAATATTGTGATATTATTATTATAATTGTAAGAATGAAAAAAAAAAGAGAATTGTATTTAAATAGAAATATACTCCGTATATATCTTCGCATCATCCTTATCCATATTTATGTCACAGTATTTTTTTTTTTTTCAAATGCAACAATAATATGGGTGGTGCACCGACAATTATACTGATATACTTACAATTGACTATTGATGGAATTACCATTGGTAAAATTATCATTTTAAACCATATATTTGATATATTCAATTAAGGGTTTGTATGAAAATTTAGAAAATGATGTTTCTATGTTATTTTTCAAAATTTTCAGTGTTTAGGTGTTAAGAGAAATAAAGTCAAAAAAATATATTCAAGTTAACAGAAAAAAGAAAAAAGAAATATTCAATTTGGTAGAAAATGTCTTTTTAATTTGTAATCAAAAGACATTTTTTAAATTTTCTATTTTTCATCTCTCTTTACTATTTTTTTAAAGTTAATTTCTGAATTATTATTATTACTACCACCATACCACAACACAACCAAACCATCACCACCACCACCACACCACAACACAATCAAATTAAACCATCACCACCACCACCACCACCATTGCTACCAACACTATCACAACACTACGACCACTACTATGACACCACCACCACCACTAAGGGCGCGGATCCACAGTGAGGGCAGCTGTCCCCCCCCCCCCCTCCCCCTTCCCACCCCAACCCATATATAGCTCTAGTAATTATGTGTGTGTGTGTGTGTCGAGCAAGATCAACGGTATACAATGGAACACAGATTCACACGTTAACACAAGTTCTTATTTGAACCTAAACGTTGGGCATCATCCCATTCGCCTAATGAATGTGAAAAATTAATAAATTAAGAAAAATATATAATATGTCTATTATACTATACAACAACAACGAATCGCAAAATACCATGCCATTAAAATAAAAAAAGTTAATATAGATTGAACCCCTCTTTAAAATAGTAATAGTCTTTAAATTATTATATTTCTTTAATTAAAATTAATATTATTTTATTGTAATCTTTATATAATTGTCGCTCTGTGCGAAACAAGGAAGCTGCACATCCCAGAGTTGAAGTTCAAAAACGAGAAGATCGTACCAAATTTTGTCCAAAACTGAGAAGATTGTTTGGAATTCCATGTGCTTATTCTCTTTCCCTTCCAAATTGATTGACCAACCCAATTATTTTACCCTATGAAATACGCTTGCTTAGACAGTTCATTTATTTGAATTTAATGCCTGTATTATATATATATACACCCGTTATATTTTTTTATGTTTATTTTTTGGGAAATAAAATCAAATGAAAGACTGAAATGCTTTTGTACTTGACGAAATTTAAACTGTTTTGTTGATGAGAACAAAAAATGGTCATGCTACAATAATACTAGGATCAAAAGTGAATTTTTGAAAAAAAAAAACACTAAAAGTGAACTATCACATATAAATCTAGAATAAAAAATGGAATCAACTCTTGTATGATTGGGGAGGACACATAACTAAGGGATTTAGGAGATGAGTTCTACTACATGAACTCCCAAATTCTACTCCCTCATTTGTACTCCCTGATGTGGCAAGCCTGGATTGGTTATTTTCAAGATGTGGGTCCACAGCAAAATGTCTACATCAAGAACACGTGAGAGGGAGTACAAGTTGGGAGTATAAAATGAGTTCACCAAGTATTTTCCTTAGGAGATACACATGAAAATTCTAATGTCAACGTCACTTCCGTGATCATCTAAACAAAAATTAAGACTAAGAATTATCCCACACTCTCACGACATATCAATTCTAAATTATTCAAGCACACAAAGCATTAAAGAAACGTCCTATTTCCCATGTTTTCATATATTTGAAAATATCGATTATGCAAGGAGTTATTTAAAATCTTGACCTAACTCTCGTTGTGGACAAGTTCTTCCAAAATATGCTAATGAATGTCATGAATCAAACATTAACAAAATGCAAGCAAAGCATAAATCTTTTATAATCTCAAGAACCCTAGGTAGACAAGAATTATCTTTATGCAAGAGTCAGTAATAAAGTATATATAACTAGAAAGATAATACATACGACCCTAATCCAAGCTTTAATTTTATGCTAGATTCTCACTCATATTAAGCGCAAACAAAACAAATTAAAATCACAAGTAATACGGATAAATATTGCGAAGGAAAAAGACAGAAAAATAGACTTATCTATTGAATAGAAGAGCAATCTTAAAATTCAAGTGTTGATTAAATCCTTAATTACAAGCTCCAAAAGTGTAATGAAAGGTAAGTCTAAGTCTATTATAGTCTAAAATTAAAATATGTAAAGAAAAAATAGAAAATGGCTAGAATTTGTCTATGAGTCGGAATCAAGAAAAATAGCTAGCTTAATTTTATAATTAAATACTGATATTGAGCACATCTGCGTGATAGATAGTTGTCTGGGCAAGTCTAAACAGAAAGATCAACTCACAAGTACACTTTTAGAGTCATGGGTGTGCACATGCAAGTGCAACCCTTCCAGTGTTCTTTTGAACTTCACAAATTGTGCACTCCCAATTGCACTACTCCAAAGCAAGTATGATTTTGGGATTTTTGGGTTAGCTTTAGATTGTCCTACACTCATCCTTAGTGTTTCGATGCTCCCTATGACTTATAATTTATTCAAATTTGAACCAAAAGTTTGATTATTCTCCCACCATAGGAAGTAGCTTTGTTGGACAACAACCACTTCCTATTCCTGATTATATTCTCCCACCATACGAAGTGCGGGGACTAATGATAAGAGTTTGGGCAAATTTGGACTTTGACTTAATTTATGTGGTTGGAAAACCGATCGATCACCAGGTTGTACAAAGAATTATAGCATTATATTAATAATATACTTTCTAAAATTCTATTTCAAATATCTTTGTAACACTTGTATTCTAATTAAATTATATTTTAACATAGCATATAGGTCCCGAACTTAATAACACTCTCAAATATACTTACAATTTGTTTTGCACAATCAATTCTCTGCGACTTTTGATTTCTCAACTTTTTCAAGCTAACAAAATTATATTCAATCCAAAATATTTTAAGTGACTTTCACTACAAGAAAAATGCACATAGACAACGGTTTTTCACCGTTATAGTAGGGGTAAAATTTATGTTATTGAAGTTAGTGTTGTTGTAAGTCCCGCGCATAGACAACGGTTTTTAACCGTTGTCTTTTATAGAAACAACAACGGTTTTTGAACGGTTGTCTATTAAGTGTTGTTGAAACCGGTGTTGTTAAAAGTTACACACATATAAAAACAACGATTTTTAACCATTGTCTATTGAGTATTGTTGAAACCGGTGTTGTTAACGCACATAGACAACGGTTTTTGAACCGTTGTCTATTGAGTGTTGTTGAAACCGGTGTTGTTAAAAGTCACGCACATAGACAACGGTTTTTGAACTGTTGTCTATTGTGGGTTGTTGAAACCTATGTTGTTAAAAGTCACGCACATAGACAACGGTTCTAAAAAGTTGTCTTTTCTAAAAAAGACAACAGTTTTTGAACCGTTGATTGAGTGCTGTTGAAACTAATGTTGTTAAAAGTCACGCACATAGACAACGGTTAAACTATTGAGTGTTGTTGAAACCGCTGTTGTTAAAAATCACGCCCATAAACAACGGTTTTAAACTATTGTCTTTTGTAGAAAAGACAATAGTTTTTAATCGTTGTCTATTATATGTTGTTGAAACATTTTTCTTGTAGTGTTTACTTTCACCGAACTCTTTCGGTCTGTCCTTCATATTTGATTGGTTTTAAAAACTTGATAAACTAAACTGAGTGAATTCCAGGACTATGTGGTCTAATGGTACCTGGGTTGGATTTCCATTTGAAAGATTGTGAGTTCGAGCCTCGGTGAAGGTATTATTGGTTCTTTGTGTTTTAGTAGGTGGAGCCAGTAGCATTCAATAATATTACTATATAGTCAAACAACAAATTAAAAATGAAATTAAAGAGAGATTTGTGCGTTTTTATATGATTTTATATATGGATTGTGATGATATAGAAGAATAAAATAATTACTAAGACCAGGACTATGTGGTCTAATGGTACCCGGGTTGGACTATGTGGTCTAATGGTACCCGGGTTGGACTATGTGGTCTAATGGTACCCGGGTTGGACTTTCATTTGGAAGATTATAAATTCAAGCCTGTGGAGATGTTATTAGTTCTTTGAGTTTCAGTAGGTTGAGAAAGTATATGAAAGGAAAGAACAAAAACATACAAATTAAAAGAAAATAAGTATTAAATCATTCAACCATGAACCATATATTACAAGCTAAGGGTAATAACATGCACGTATATGACAATGCAACAAACTTAAACACAATGGAACTGAAGAACTACATCGATCACTCCGAACATGGGCAAGAATGCAAGATCGGTCGATCCAACCAATTCAAATGCGGTCTAAATCTTCATCAAGTATATATCATGACATGATAATTATATTAGTTCTTTGAAGGTGGTGGAGAGAAGAAGGGGAAAGGGATTTTGGGGAAAGAAGAAGGGAAAGAGGGCATAGGAGGCATGGCAAATCTGGGAATCCCAGGAATGGTTGGCATTCCGGGGATAGTAGGAATTCCAGGCACAGCAGGATTGGTGGCCTGAATGGTAGGGATGGCTGGCAATCCAGGGATAGTAGGAATTCCAGTGGTTGGGATAGTTGGCATTCCAGGGATAGAAGGAATTCCAGGCACAACAGGATTATTGTTGGCCTGCAAGAGATTCCGAGCCGCGTAACATTTGAGAGGGTTGGTGACAGAGATGCTGAGAGCAAGAATGAAAATGCAAGAGGTGAAAATGCTTCTGGCCATGGCTACTGTGCTGTACTAGGTTTGAAGAATTTCAAGGACGAGGATGTTCTTTGAGTTGTGGTTGGTGGTGATGGAAAATGGTAAGAGATTCATTGGGTATTTATAGGTTGAACAAACTCTAAATTTGGGTTGTTTAATGTTATTGGTGGGAATGTGGTGTGGTTTGGTTATGATTGTCACCGATTTGTTTAGATTGTCCTACACTCATCCTTTGTGTTTCAATGCTTCCTTGACTTAGAATTTATTTAAATTTGCCTAAAAGTTTGATTATTCTCCCATAGGAAGTATATTTGTTGTTCAACAACTACTTATTCCTGATTATAATCTCATCATTATTAGTCCCCGTACTATGGATCTATTGATATGTTAATCTAGAGTTTGGGTAAATTTGGGCTTTGCCTTGATTTATGTGGTTGGGAAACCGAGGTTGAGTACAAATGACAAAAATAGTAACTTTCATTGACATTGCTACAAACGTTACATGCATTAGGGCCCGATGCATGTCATTATCGACCTGAGTCACAAGTAGCGTGCTACTATGTTGAACTTAGTTTGTTGGCGAGAATTCGATATGTGTTCCGTGCTTCAACACCATAAATAGAGAGCTTCTCTAGCTAGCTAAGGGATCTAATTCTTTGGGCTTTCGTATACTCTCCGACCAATTGATGGGGATTGATTTCAAACCTAACAGAATTTTCTATCAATATTGGTGCAACGTTAGTATTTTAACCCTATCTCACTCATACGAAGTTGGATTAAAGTGATTCAAGACTATGAAAAGCTAAGAGAATTGTTTATAACTTTCATGTCACTGCTGGAAATTATGAAATTTCTGACCACCTGAAAGTGATCTTAAATCAACTCGAAAGCCTTGTTCCGACCACTTTTGGTATCGGAAAAACCTTTATTGCTATTTCCGACCACTTTTTGCTTACGACTTGATTTAAGATCACTTTCAGGTGGTCGGAAATTCCATAATTTCCAGTAGTAATGTTTTAAATTTTTAGTGATTCTCACAATATCAAAGCCGAAATCTGACATGAAGTTATAGTTTGCTCATATCTTATGTTTTAAGTTACTTTTATTTAATTAGCTTAAATTAGTTATTCTAGTTAGGTTAAGATTAGAGGGGCATGAGTATGTCTAGCTATAAACACTCGATCTGAAGTTGTATTTGTTTTGGATCTTTTGGTTTATTGAATAAAGACTCTGTTCCTTTTCAATTTGGCTTAACACAACTATTTTAATTCTTTATCATTTTTGTGTGGATCTTCTTGCTTAGATTCCTGGTACATTTTTTCTCATTTGATTCGTAAGAAATTAGGGTGTTTCTTACAAAAGTGTTGAGTCCTTAAATAAATTCTGAAGGTTTGCATCACCATTTTAAAGCCTCCCAAGCTCACTTTGTTTCACATTTAGATTTGTAGTACTAAGAATTAGAGCATTAATACTATACTTTCTACAATCCTATATTTCATTACAAATATCTTTGTAATGCTTGTATTCTACTTAAATTTTAACATAGCATATAGGTCCCGAACTTAATAACACTTTCAAATATACTTAAAATTTGTTTTACACAATCAATTCTACAACTTTTGATTTCTCAACTTTTTCAAGCTAACAAAATTATATTCAATCCGGCCAAAATATTTAAGTGACTTTGCTTTCACCAAACTATGTCCTTCTATATGAGGGACTTTAATTATATTTGATTGGTTTTAAAAAAGTTGATAAAATACACTCAGTGAATTCAATATTACTAGCGTTGTAGTGATATCAACCACTGCGTTTCGCTCTTACGTTGGCTATGCCATTGATAGCTGCAGGCAAATTGCCGTTTATTTTCACTCATGTTCTTTTAATTATATTTCTAGATCGGACAATTATTTAGCTCATGCTTTAGCCACTATGGCTTATCAGCAACCTGATACTATGTACTGGGATACTCACCCACCAGACATTATTTCAGCATTTTTCTAATGAAGCACCGCAGAAAATTTTCAAAAAAAAAAAAGAATTCAATATTACTATAGAGTAGTCAAACAACAAAAATGAAATTAATCGGCAATTTATGGTTCAGTAGGCAGTATTTGGGAGAATTGAAAAGATCAAGGTTCGAACCTCGACGGCGGCAGTGTGAGAATTATATCTAGCTAAAGTGGGCAGATTTTGGACAGATCTCTTGTGCACACATGCATTTAACCCTGTATGTGAGTCATTGAGTCACTGTGATTTACATTCCCAAATGTTCTATCGGGCCAGGGAGTTGGGGATTTAACATTTTGGAAGAAGAATTAAGGAGAGATTTGCTTGGTCCACTTATGTCTTCAAGCTTTAGCATTACTATGGGGGGCACTTGATACATTTTTTTTCATTATATTTTTTTTATTATTATAAAACAAATCACTTAATATAATATTTTGGCTCCGTATAGTACGTCCCTAGTTATGGTTAAGCAACATGGTGCATGGATTGACTTGTGATGATATAAAAGCATAAAGTAATTACTAAGAAAATGGAAATTTAAGAGCCATAGAAACGGAAAGAATTGAAGAAAAACATACAAATTAAAGAAAAAAAAACTCTCAAATCATTCAACCATGAACCCCATATATATATTACAAGGTAGGGTAATAACATGCAACAAATTAAACATAAACACAATGAAACTGAAGCTCGAACTAAATCACTCCAAACATGGGCAAGAATGCAAGATCAATCGATCCAACCAATTCAAATGCGGTCTAAATTAAATCTTCATCAAGTATATATCATCACATGATGATAATTAGTTCTTTGAAGGTGGTGGAGAGAAGAAGGGGAAAGGGATTTTGGGGAAAGAAGAAGGGAAAGAGGGCATAGGAGGCATGGCAAATTTGGGAATCCCAGGAATGGTGGGAAATGATGGCTGGGTAGGAATAGAAGGCATTGGCGACGCGGCTGCCTTTGGAATGGTTGGCATTCCAGGCACAGCAGGATTGTTGGCCTGAATGGTAGGGATGGCTGGCATTCCAGGGATAGTAGGAATTCCAGTGATTGGAATGGTTGGCATTCCAGGGATAGTGGGAATTCCAGGCACAACAGGATTATTGTTGGCCTGCAAGAGATTCCGAGCCGCGTAACATTTGAGAGGGTTGGTGACAGAGATGCTGAGAGCAAGAATGAAAATGCAGGAGGTGAAAATGCTTCTGGCCATGGCTGTGCTGTAATAGGTATGAATTCCAAGGATGTTCTTTGAGTTGTAGTTGGGGGTGATGGAAAATGGTAAGAGATTCATTGGGTATTTATAGGTTGAACAAACTCTAAATTTGGATTGTTTAATGTTATTGGTGAGAATGTGGTGTGTTTGGTTATGACTGTCACCGGTTTGTTTAGAAACTAACTGTAATTCTGTAATGGAAGATGGGAAGGTGGTCTATGTTTGTTAAACCAAGCCTTGTGGTTGTCTGTCGCTGCCCTTTTCGTTAAGATATATTTCATATAAATTATATAATTGAACTACCAAATTAAGCTTAGTGTTACTACATGAAGAATACTATTCCATGAAATTTTCATGTTACATAACCACATGAAGAATACTGCAAAAAAAAAAAAAAAAAACACTCAAAATATTAGATACAATCAATGTTGCAGGTTATTCATCTGTTTCATGTACAACCTTTGCTATACTAAGCTCATACTGCAAGGCAAGCCACTGCATCATATCTGTACTGATCACTTTCTGCAAATGCAACTCTTTCAAAACCAAACCTGCCAGCTCCTTTTCTTCTTCATACACAAGCCCTTCAACTATAATGCTATACGTTTTCTCGTCCGCCATATACCCTTTCTCGATCATCTCTTCATAAACCGACAACGCCAAATCCGTCCTCCCACATTTGCACAATCCGATCACTAGAGCGCTGAAGTTCTTGACGTTTGGCCTGTAACAGTTCGCCTCGAGAATCCTAACTATCTCGATGGCAGCGTTCTGCATTCCCTCCTTGCACAGGCCTTTGATTAGGTACGAATAGGTGAACTTGTCGGGAGTGAATCCGGATAGTGTGATATCACACAGAAGCTGAAATGCGGGATAGGTATTCCCCATGCTACATAGAATGGAGATCACGTTTCTGTAGAAATCGTTAACTGGGTGCCCCTTTATGGCCCTCAAGCGCTCGAGGATTTTGAAGGCCTCGTGCACCATTCCCTCCTCGCAAAGAACAGCGATGGCGTTATACGTCCCGGGGTTAGGATCACACTGGTGATCGATCATCTGGTTGAGATAGTTTATCACTTCGGGCACCTTTTTTGATTTACAAAAGTGGGTGATTATCGGGTTGTAACTATCAGCTGTTGCCCTAAGGGTAACCCCCGAGTACATTTCTTCCAAGATATCAATAGCACTACGAATTCGACCATGGCTAGCGAGCGAATCAATTAGAATATTGTAGGTAGCTGTAGTGGGCAAAATGCCTTCCCGGTCCATTTCAGCAAGAAGGCGATTCGCCTCCTCCCAACGCCCTTCCGAGCCCAAGCTCCTCAATAGCACATTGTAGCTAGCAACATTAGGGTAAATCCGAATCGATGGCAATTTCCTAAAGAGCTGAAGAGCTTCGTCAACTCTCCTCTCCTTACAAAGCCCAATCAACACGACATTGTAACAAACCAAATTAGGTTTACCCCCCTTGGCCGCTATGACTTCCAAGAGCACCATAGCCTCATCAACCCCCCTCTCCCTCGAGATAACTTCGAGCATGATGGAATAAGTATAGGCATCCGGGACCAGCCCTTTCTGCATCAATCTATCGATAAACCCGAGGCTCAAGTTCAAGCACCCTTGTTTGTAAAGCCCTCTTATAAGAATATTATACGTCTTCGTATTCACAATGTACCCATACTCCTCCATCTTCTCAACGAGATAAATGGCTCGACGCACACTCCCAACCTTGCACAAGTACTTAACCAAGAAAGCGCAAGAAGACGCCATTGGCGTGCTCCCCGACCTAACGATTGTTAGCATAACTCGGGTGGCTTTTCCGGCCTTATCGTGTTGGCAAAGGGCATATACTAGATTGGTGGCTTGGGTTAAATCAGGCTTATACCCTTTCTCTACCATGTACTCTAAATACAGAATTGCATCATGGAGCTTAAGTTCTCTGGCTGTTCTGTCATTACTGGAAACATTCCAGTTGGGCAGAACAAAAATACCATCTTTCACGGCTAAATCGCTCTGTTTCCAACAAGAATTGCTAGTACGGGTATGGGAAACGGCTAATACTCTACAAAACCTCTTCTTATGCAGCAATGAGTCATAAAGCTTGGGCCTTTCGGGGAAGAATTCATAGGGTTTTCTTGCGAGATCCGGAGATGGGTTTGTTAATGGAGGCGATGAATTTATAAGCATAGTCATGAATTGAACAGTTTAGTGAAAAAAACAAATAAGCAATTCCTTATCTCCAGAATTTTGACACCACAAGAAACTTCATATGAAGTTATGGTTGAGCATTTAAAGATTAAAAGATGCAGGAAATCAAGAGAGAGATTAAAGGGAAGATGAAATGGAAATGGAGCTAAGGAGGAACATACAGTAGAGTGAGCCTTCTTTACTTTCTTCTTCTCCAAGTTGAGAAAAGGATTGGGTGTAGCGCTATCATCATCTTGTGACTGCAACTTCGGAAGTTATCTCAGTATGGGTGATAAGATTGGGCCCTTGAATGCACAACTATATTTGGGCCAACCATTTGATTCCTATTAGCCTAGGCAAATTATGTTGTGCATCCGTATGCACTATGCATGGTGCATACCGATGCAAAAACGACGTTGTTTTATTAAAAACGCGCGTCTCCCCTTAAAAAAAATTCAGGTTCGATTCCAGCAACAACATATGAATTAAAATTTCAGAATCAATGAACTATAATTCCAGAATCGATGAACTATAATTCCAGAATTTATGAACTAAAATTCCAGAATCTAATCTATGAACTAAAAATTCCAGAATGAATGAACTAAAATTTCAGAATCTATGAACTACAATTCCAAAATTGATGAACTAGAATTTCAGAATCAATGAACTAAAATTCCATAATCTATGAACTAAAATTCCAGAATGAATAAACAACATAATGCTGTTGCTGGGAATCAAACCTGAATTTTTTTTAAGGGGAGACGCGCGTTTTTAATAAAACGACGTCATGGTGCATACGGATGCACAACATAACTATCCATTAGCCTACCTTGTTTTTTTTTGCAATCGTTATACCGTGCACCAGGGCGCATATAACAATGTGCGCCCCGCGCCTCCCAAAACAACATTGTTTTGGTGTATTGTTCAAAAAAAAAAAAAGATCTGTTTCGAATACACATAAATTCATAATAGAATACACATAATCTACATGATACATAATACACAGAAACTTTTAACTGAATACACAGAAACTCTTAACTGAATACCCAGAAACTCTTAACTGAATACACAGAAACTTTTAACTGAATACACATAATGGAATTTTGACCGTTTGAACGGACAAAGTGACGTCAGCAATTGAAACACGCGCATTTTGTGCTTGGGCGCACATTACTATGTGTGCGGTGATGCATGATATAAATTGTCTTCTTTTTTTTTTTCTTTTTTCTTCTTTTTTTTTTTTTTTTTTTTTTTTTTTTTTTTTTTTGAAATAATCATGACTCTTTAGTCTTTACTATGTAGTATTTGAACCCATAACCACCGATTTAGAATGGTAACTGGGATGCCATTACACTACATGGTAATTGGCACGCTATTAACCTTGTTTATGTCTTAAAATATTATTATGTTATAATAAATAAATTTTAAGCTTGCCAACTAATATATAGTGTAATGATATTGTGTTACCATTTTAAGTGGGTGGTCACATGATCAAATCTTGGTGGTTGCTTCTCACCAAAAAAAAATAATAATAATAAAAAATCTTGGTGGTTGCTACATTTAGTATAAAAGATTTTCATACTGATGAAGTTTAATTTTGTTTTTTTAAATAACAAGGTAAAAAGTAAATTTTAAATTATTTTCAACTTTGATGATAATAATTAGCAATGCTTAATCTTTTAGCTCTTGTTGTTGTCAAAGAAGAAGGAGAATAGCATATGGAAGAAAGAGGAGACAAGGTGTTAGACTTAAGGGCATCCTCAATAGTGAGTTTTTGATGTGAATTTTAGGAGTTTTTGTAGGTATAATTAGGAAAGAGAAAATGGGAGAAGTGAGATAAAAAAACACATTATCAAAAATAAAAATAAAAAAATCAAGTCTCTAACGCGTCGCCCGACTGAGTGCTTGTTTGCCTTGTGCACGAGCATGTGGAGCATAATGCAAATATGGTGGGACCCACCATTTATGAAAAAACAAAGGTTTTCCTGCAACACCCTCACTCCTCTCTCTTCCATCTATCTCCTCCACCTATACTTCCACCTGCAAAAACTTAGTAAAATCCCCCTAATGGAGATGGTCTTAGGAAGAAAAAGTAAAGGAAATGAAGTAAAATGCTAGGTAAGCGTCCACGTCAACCAGACAACCGAATGGGAAAAGAGTTTACCTGATAGTATCATGTGAAATTGCTGTGATTTTATTAGTTGAAGGTAGTAATTGTACCTTTTTTTTTTTTTTTTTTTTTTTATTATTTTTTTATTTTTTAAATTCAATGGCCTGATTGCATTTTGTGATTTCGTTCAGTTGCCAATTTAACTTTTATTCCAAAAAAAAAAAAAAAGGCTAGCCTAACTTGTCCAAACCGAATTTTAATTGGTCTACCTCAAATAATACTAAAGCAGGTGCCAGACCGGCCTACTTACTTGACATCAATGAGACCAGGGAAAGGGAGAGATGTGTATGAAAAAAAAAAAGAAAAGAAATAAGAGTTAAATAGACCATCGAAGTGCACACAAAATTATAATTGGGCCACTGAACTAAAAAAAAATACAATTAGATTCTTATACTAACCAATATCATGCAAATCTTTCAATTTACAAGTTATCATTCAGTTACCATGTTAGTTGGCTGTCACGTGGCGTTTTAAATTACCTTGTCACGTTGCTTTCTTGTTCGGCCTTCCTCTGTTTCGTCCCTGTTTCACATTGCTACATCAGAGCTAACAACTATCACGACGCGCTCCACAAGAGCATCATGTTCTTCGAAGGCCAATGGTCCGTTGGCGTTGAGGAAAGACTCCGCATTGCATGATGGAGCCACTGCCGCAAGAGCTACAAAACATTTCTAAACTGCATTATTACAAGCTTTGGTTATTATTCGTCAGACTAATAGAACAATCTCGTTGCAAATATTGTTGACTTCTAAGATAAACATTAAAGAAATGGATGCCTCATGTAGTAGTACACTGGTACTAATTAAGTATTTGATGTAACAATGATTTTTTCTTCCATAATTTATGAAATATATACAACTGTGAGTTATTCCATATGAAATAGGAAATTGAGCAACTAGCATAGAGGTTGTATTTATACTGCAAAATTTCTTTTATGCTTCATGATCATACAGATGTTGGCGAAATTAAGTCAGACTGTTCATGCAAATTCTCTGAACAAAAGCTTGAGCATGTTGACAGTCCGCAAGATCTAGCTTTTGCAGTTTGACAAACAGAGAAACATGGGCTTGAAACAGATGATTCATAGTTACTATCATCATCATTATCATCATATACCCTTGATTCGGATGATGGCCTCGTGTTGGAAAATCTAGCATGAAGGTTTGAGTTCAGAGCAGAAGGTGAGCCGTGAATGAGACCAGAGAGCAGAGAGCAGAGGGATGATGATGATGAAGAGGAAAACGATGGTGATAGCTGCAACGTAACAAGCTTTTCTTGACTGTGAGTTTGGGGAGATCGAAGTCTTTGTAAAAGGTTAACTCGTGAAGACTTTGTATTTTCGCAATGTCTTTCATTGCAGGACTTGGCATGAAGGAAGGTGGAAGGCGTTGGTCCTGAATTATGGAAGGCCGGAAACGAAGAAAAAAGTGACCTGACAATGTAATTAAAAATGCGACGTGGAATCCAGTTGACCGGATGATAACTTGGAAAACTGGGAAATTGAAAGATATACATTATATTGGTTAGTATAAGGGCCTAATTGTAATTTTTTAAAGTTCAATGGTTCAATTGTAATTTTATGTGGACTTCAGTAGCCTATTTGACCCTTATTCCAAAAAAAAAAAAAAACTATCTTCTGAGTAAAAGTTTTGAAGGCATTTTCCACCAGAAATAGTCTTTTTGCTTTAAACTATACCCTTATTCCAAAAACAGAAAGTTTTGAAGGCATAATAAACCTTATCTTAATGACTTCTTATTTTAGTTTTGTTTTTTGTTTTTAATTTATTAGGGGGTTTGTGAAAGATTAACCCAAAATGTATATGAGTTGTTTTAGTTTTTAACATTTTTGAACAAATTGCTAAGTTATTAAATAATAGTTTTGGTGTTACCTAGAGTTTAGGAGACTATAGTGGGAGTCTCTCTATAGATCTCTATCTGATGTAATTTGGTAAGATTAGATTTTGAAATTCAAAACTCTTGTTCTCACATATGCAACTCTTTCAAAATTAAAGCCGCCAGCCCCCTTTCTTCCTCGCGGATCAGCCCTTTGACTATGAAGGTATAAGTTGTCTCCTTCGGCCTGTACCCTTTCTCCACCATTTCCTCGTAAATTGCCAGCACCAAATCCGTTCTCCCTGATGTGCATAACCCGAGCACTAGAGAGTTCAAGAGGTTAACTTCTGGACCGTAACAGTTTGCATCCAGAACCCTAATGATCTCGATGGCAGCACCGTGCATTCCCTCCTTGCACAGCCCTCTGATCAGGGACGAATAGGTGAACGAGTCGGGAGTGAATCCAGACGTTGTCATATCGTACAAAAGCAAAAACGCTTCGTACGTGTTTCTCATCCTACAAAAAGCAGAAACCACATTTCTGTAGAAGTCGTTAATAGGGTGCTTCTTTGTTACCCTCAATTTCTCGAGAATCTTGAAAGCTTCGTGCCCCATTCCCTCCTCCTCGCAAAGAATAGCAATGGCACTATACGTTCCATCGTTAGGATCACACTGCTTATCGATCATCTCGTTAAGACAGTTGATAACAGAATGCACCTTCTTTTCTTTACAAAAGTGGGCGATTATCGGGTTGTAACTGTCAGTCGTTGGCTTGAACTGTACCCCGGAATCCATTTCCCTCAACAAGGGCATCACTAACTCGGCCATGATATGCAAGCGAGTTAATTAGAACATTGTAGGTTATTATAGTCGGTGAAACATCGTCTCTATCCATGTCAGCAAGAAGTTGGTTAGCCTCCTCCCACCGCCCATCATAGCACAAGCTCCTCAATATCAAATTATAGCTAACAATGGTGGGATTAATCCCTAGCGACACCCATTTCCTAAAGAACCCAATAGCTTCATCAACTCGCCTTTCCTTGCACAACCCCGTCAACAAAACATTGTAACAAACCACATTAGGCTTCCCGCCCTTGGCAACAATGCTTTCCAAGAGCAACATAGCCTCATCAACCCCGCAATCCTTATAAGTAGCTTGAAGCATGATCGAATGCGTATACGCATCGGGCACAAACCATTTTCGCATCAACCTATCTACAAACTTGAGGCTCACGGACAAGCATCCCCGCTTGCAAAGCCCTCGTATAAGAGTGTTATAA